TTCAATGTCTTCATAAAATTGTAGTTTCTCAACACAAGGCTTATCTTCAAAGTGAATTACAATACTCCGTATATATTACCACTCCTAAATCAGTTTTTGATGCATATCAAAGCCTTAACACACCGAGGCTTAATGAGTTCAAATAAAGGCATCTATGACTCTACCACTTGTGTTAAATGCACTTTCTGAAACCGTTGTACACACTTGGACATAAAATAAATCCCCTATAATAAGAGCTAAAACAGGAATCAAGCATTCCAGCCCAGCTGGTTGTGAGGTTATCGTGCCTAGTGAGAGGTACCGAGTTCGAAACCCGCTAGGCACATAAGAGTTTGAAACTCAATGGAGTGAGTTTCAGCCCTGATTACTCTAGGTCCCCCGGCCCCCATCCCCCAGACCCCCTGGAGTAAAAAAAACAGGAGCTAAAATAGGATATTGATGAGCATTAGTTTTTCACGACCTTAATAGGTCGATAATGTTGTACTTCTCTGCCAATTCTCGTGCTGAAAATTCAGTTTATCCATGTATTGCACTTGATTTCTCACCAACATTCTCCCCAATAGACATCACTGTATCTATTAAATACCGAATGACCTCATGCTCCAACATGTTGTCTTCACTCTCAGTTACCTGCTTACTCCATCTCATCACATACTTATTTGTAATTTGCGAATGAAATGCACTTCATAGTACTACATACTTCTTTCTTTCAATTTTTTTATTTCACTTGCAAATTATTAGAATTTCTATCAATAGCTTTCCTCTTCTTCACGTTATTCTCTCCATACTCCCCAAACAAAAGAAACAAAGTAACAACAATTATTTGATCTCACTCACATTTTGTTCTGGCTCAAAGGGAGCCCATGAAAAATCTTCATCCGAAATCTCCCTCACGTGGTTTAATTTAAACAATGGATCTAAAACCAAACTAGTGATAATCAGAATATTCAACTCATCATGCTCTCCAAAGTACTCAGAGTATTTGGCTTTTATGAGTGAAGTCACATTCGTCAATAACTGGTCGTTTTGATTTGACAATATAATCAAAAGAACCTAGTTGTCAACATTTCTTCCATTTGAACAATATCATGATCTGAAATGTGATATGAAATGTAGGACATAAGGAAACACCAACCCTAAGAGTTACATCATAAAACGCTCAAGAATCCTACAAATGGGAGGTTTCAATAAATCATAGACGTCAACAAGAGTCCTAATATCTAAGAGATAACTAGAAGGAGAACACGGGGGGGGGGGGGGGGGGGGACGGTGGCTTGGGAGGATAGGCTATGGGATCAGAGATTCCTCATTCGTTACTCGATCGACAATTATCATTGGGAGATATGCGCGACCGCTAGAAGATCGTGTGCTGACTACACTCGCCGATGATGGGGACACTATGGCGGAGATTCGTCGCTTAGTCCGGCTCTCACACATTGTAGCCCGGTTAGATGGACCAACCGGTGGTCTCCATGTCAGGAAACATGGCGTTTTCGATACAACGCAACAATAAGGGGGCCTAGTTTCAATCCAGCGAGTAAAGTAGACAAGAGAACATAGAGGAGGTGTTGCTTCCCATTGCAGAATAGGCGGTGTGATGAATCCATATCCAGACCAGCGAGGCGATTGCACATATTGCCAATTAAAGCTTGTCAGTTGTTGCCAGGAATCTTAGCAGTCCCATAAAACGGCCTTTGAGTAGAACTTAAGGGGGTCTCAACTCAACGATGGAACAATGGGTTTGGACAACAAAAAACGATTGGGTGATGCAGGCGATCAACCATCTACTCGTAGAACAACAGATCTAGTTTCAACAATTATAGAGGATTTTGACAGGTTTGATGTCTCAACTGAAGGCAGACTTTTCACAAATTACATTTCGGCATGTCTCTAGTGTTAGACATCTTACATTTCAACGTGTCTCGAGTTACATTTTGATTTGCCTGAAGTTATATTTTGCATAAACACGATTTATATTATATATATGAAAGGTGACATAATAATCACAAAATAACCACGTTTCATGCTGAGCTAGTTACATTTCCTGCTAGTTAAATTACATTTGTAACAACGCGAGTCACATTTCAGTGCACAAGATTTACATCACGAAAATACTGAGCTAAAAACATATGTAGTCTTCATGTGCGCTTTTTAATTAAAACTTACAAATTATACTCCTTCTGTTCTCTATTAACTGTCTCGTATTCACTTTTGGAACGTTTTTAATTATTTGTCTCTCTTTTCTTTTTGGGCAAGTTTTTTCAATCAAAATACTTTTATACCCCCAATTTTATTACTCTTACCCATTTATCTTTCCTAGCTTTTCATTTAAACACAAAACACTATACCTTTTACATTACTACTATTATTTCCCCCTTAAAACTCGTGTCAAAGCGTAATGGGACTCTTAACGAAAAACGAATGGAGTACTAAATAGGAGTAGAACCATTTTTAAATTCTAAAATAGAACTATCATGCCTTTATTTCTTAAATAAGAGTAATTACTCTCATATTTTGGAATTATCAGACTTATAGCATGTCAATGTTTTCCAAGTTTGACAGTAATTACTCCAATTTTGAGAATAAAAGCATGACATGTCTATTTTAGAATTTCAAAATGTTCTTACTCCTATTTCGAGAATTTTCCCATAAAATGTAAACTTAAATGACATTGTTTTAATTGTTAGAGTATTAGAATGTTTTTACTTCGACTGTAATTTTCTTGTCTGATCTGGTCTGATCTGTTTTAGTCTGGTCTGGTCTGTTTAAGCCCGGTCTGGTCTGATCTGATCTGAACTGGTTTGGTAAACGTATAGTCTCTTTGTATTTTATAACTACGGAAGTCAAGCCTGCTCTGTTTAAGTCTGGTCTGGTCTGGTGTAGTCTGTGACTGAAAACAGTTCAAATAAAAACATCTTTATGCTCAAACCTCTCACCTGAGGCTTTATATCTAATTTAATTAATAGCTGCAAACACTAGGTCCAGAGCCTCACTAGTTATTTGTTGGTCTGTGACTAAAATCCAATTTACATCCTACCAGTTAATTGTCCTACCGGTGCGGCGGTGCTGGGCCCTTGGATTGGAGCACGTTTCTCTTATACCACTTTTGTCCCTTAAAACTTTACCATCTTTGACTTTTTAAGTCAATGACGATAAAGCTTAGATTATGATTTTGATCAGTATAATATTTAGGAAGTTATAAATTTTATACTTTTATGAAAGTTTTTTTAGCAAAGAATATTTTCATATCATTCTTATATTATAAATAATTTTCTATAAAAATATTATCCTCTATTTCTTTGTAGTTGCAAATTATTTTTTTTACAATATTCACATACTCGAGCCAAAATTCTTTTGGGGTTAAGGTTTGGATGTTGTTGTTGTATTCGCATACTCTACCTTGACTAATTTTTATTTATCATATATGATTTTTTTTTGAAAAATATTGTTTAATCCGTCTCATTATAAATTTTCATATTATGGTTTTTAAATGTCTTGTTATTAACATAGAAATAAATATAATGACAATCAAAGTTGTATACTCCTTGTCTCCCTCCGTATTTGAAAATTCTCTACAACAGCTTTGGGCACAATAGTACGAGTAATGAATAGTGTAAAAAAGTAGCAGAGATGATGAAAAAGTATGAGAGAAAAGATAAATAGTACGAGTAGAAAAATAAGAGTAATTAAATATTTTTAAAGGTAATTTACCAAAAAAATGTAGCAAATTTTTAAATAAATCCTGAAAATGAAAATATAACAAATTTTAAAACATGGACTATAATAAAAGTGAAAATCCTGGGAGGGATAAAAAAAGAGTTTTAAATTAACCAAAACAGAGTTTTAAGGCACTGGGAGGACGCAAATTATATCGTGCAACTGGCGCACCATGAGGATGGTGCGCCGGTTGCAAAACGACGGAGTATTGAGACTTGATTTCTTTATTTTTTATCCTTTTGTTTTTAAAAAATGGTAATAACTTTTTTATTTTTGATCCGATTTTTATAAAATTTATATCAACATTTTTTATTTTTCATGATCTTTCAAATGAGACCAATATTGCTTATGTAATTTTAAGAAATTATCGAACTATTATATTAATGTGTATTGGATTATAAGGAAAACCAAACTAAATTTAATACAGAAAAATAATTGTGTAAATCACAAATTATCTTAAAATTGTGTATATAAAAAATTTATTGTATTAGGTATTTATACATGTGAGTGACATATTTTTATAAGTGAAGTTACATATTTTTACATGTAAAGTTACATATTTCTACACGCGAGTTACATATATATACACACGAGTTGCATTTGACTTGCCTGAACGCGAGTTACATATATTTACACGTAGAGTTACATATTTTTACACGTAAAGTTACATATTTATACACGCGAGTTACATATTTATACACACAAGTTGCATTTGACCTGTCTGAACGCGAGTTACATATTTTTTTAAGTAAAGTTACATATTTTTACACGTAAAGTTACATATTTCTACACGCGAGTTACATATATATACACACGAGTTGCATTTGACTTGCCTGAACGCGAGTTACATATATTTACACGTAGAGTTACATATTTTTACACGTAAAGTTACATATTTATACACGCGAGTTACATATTTATACACACAAGTTGCATTTGACCTGTTTGAAAGCGAGTTACATATTTTTTTAAGTAAAGTTACATATTTTTACACGTAGATTTACATGTTTATACACACGAGTTGCATTTGACCCGACTGGATGTGAGTTACATATTTCTACACGTAAAATTACATATTTTACATAGGTTAAGATTACATAGACAATATTGGTCGCATTTGAAAGATAATGAAAAATTAAAAATGTTGGTATAAATTTTATAAAAATCGGATCAAAAATAAAAAAAGTTATTACCATTTAAAAAAAAAAAAGAAATAAAAAATAAAGATCGGGTACTTGACAAATAGCGGGGTATAACAAGTGGTGGGAGGGATATATTAGAACCAAAGACGACCCTATATAAACACAGCCACTGCCCTAATTTGGTTTGCAATCGGTCAAGCACCTCAAAACCCTATCCCCGTCTCTTCTCAGCGTCTGCTTCTCTCAGATCTGTAGAGAACTTGAAATCTGATAACATGGCCCACAAGAGGAACGAATTCGGAGATGGCGCTAGCCCGGGGTGAGTCTTTATTCCACCACATATTATACATTGCTTGCCGAGCACCTATACTAGCTTTATTATTTTGCTCGGATTCGATTAGTTTTTTGATTAGGGATTTATTGTTATGATGCAGAAAAATCTTCATCGGCGGTCTGGCAAAAGATACGACCTTAGGTTAGTTTTTGGGTCGCTTCATTTGGGTTTGGTTGTGAATTGTGATTGTATCAGCCGGTGGATTTATAATCTTGATTTTCTTTTGTCTGCAAAGATCAATTTGTGAAGTACTTCGGGAAGTATGGGGAAATCACCGACTCAGTTATAATGAAAGATCGCCAAACAGGAAGACCCAGAGGATTTGGGTTTATTACATACGAAAATCCTTCAGTTGTCGACACTGTTATTGCTGAAACTCATATAATCAATGACAAACAAGTGAGATTCTATCTTACGTTTTTCTTATATTTTTTGTCATCACCAATGGCGTTCCAAAGAGTAAGCTAGGAACCGAAAATAAACTGAATTGGTACAGGAAATTTCATTTGTATCCTTCTCCCATAGTATGCTTTTAGCTTATTGTTTCACTTCTTACATTTGTCGTTGTTGGTCACTGTTTTTTAAAAGTGAAACAGAAGGGGTATATGTATGCACAAAACGACATAAAATGAAAATATAACTATTTTGAACAAAGTAACGCTGACCAGGAATAGTGCCCTCATATTCTGTTCTTCCCCAGATGCAAGAATTGATCAAAAGTTCAACAATTTAAAAGATACCCCTATGCTATAATTACTTTAGGATGAGTTCTTAAGTCCATTGATGACATTACAATGTCTTAAACTCTCAACCTAATTAATTTTATTGCATTAGTTTGTTAATAGAGATGAAGGCTATTTTCCTTTTTTGAGCATTGTGTTTGTATTATTTCATGGATCTTATCATCTGACTGAACATGGTTTTGAGATCGCTATGAAATATTCATTTATCTATTTATTCCATACAGGTTGAGATAAAGAGGACTATTCCCAAAGGATCATCTGAATCTAAGGATTTCAAGACAAAGAAAATCTTTGTTGGAGGAATTCCTACTTCTATGTCTGAAGGTAAAAGCAATATTTCATCAGCTTACTTGCCTGGTTAATATAATAAGTATAAGTGTGTTATTTCATTACATTTATCATGGCATATCATTTGGTTTGCACATGCACATGTGTTTTCTCATGTTGTATTATTATGTGCTTAGATGAGTTCAAGGATTTCTTCTCCAAGTATGGGAAAGTAACTGAACATGAAATCATAAGAGACCATGTGACAAAGAGATCAAGAGGCTTTGGATTTGTTGTATTCGACAATGATCAAGTAGTTGACACAGTACTGGCTGATGGAAACATGATTGATATGATGGGTACCCAGGTGAATTATGCAAGTTTCCTAATTCTTTTCACACACTCTGGCCCTACACATAAGACTGTTTCCAATTTTGGGAAATAGCGTCTGATGTTAGAATTTTAGTTTCCTCACAGAATAGTTTTTTTAAAATGGAATAGGGCTAGAATTTTGAATGCAGAAATCATATTTTAGTGGTTCAGTGTAGCGTATTGCATTTAGTGCATGACTATGGCTAACATGGCAGGTGAAACACCTAGGTTAACATGCTTCTTTGTTGTAGGTTGAGATCAAGAAAGCAGAACCAAAGAAACCCTCAAACCCTGCACCTGCTCCCGCTTATGGTAGTAACCCTAGGGGTCGTGGTTATGGAGATAGTTATGGTGGGTTTGATAATTCCTATCCAAGTTATGGCGGTGGAGGTTTTGGCCCTGCCGCCGCCCCTTATAGGTCTTATGGTGGAGGTCTTGGTGGTAGGTTTGGTGATTATCCTCCTATTGGTGGTGGTGAATTTGGGGGTCGCTATGGTGATTACGGTGCTAGTGAATTTGGCGGGTATCGAGGAGGAGAGCCCCCACTCAGCAGCTACTCGAGTCGCTTTGGCTCATATGGGAGTGGCGGTGGCAGTGGCTTTGGTGGTGGGGGTTATGGTGGAGGTGGGCTAGGCGGGTATGGACGTGGAGGTGGTTATGGTGGGTACGGTGGGGCTGGTGGGGCTGGTGCAGGTGCAGGATATGATTCTGGTCCTGGTGCTGGTTATGGTGGACCAGCAGGCTTATATGGAAGTAGGGGAGGCTATAGTGGTGGTGGGCGTTATCATCCATATGCCAGGTAGATGGGTCCTATTAATAAGGCAAGTCTTCACCATAGGAGAGTTCCCATTCAGGTTATTGCATCTTGTGCCCCCAGGTTGAGATTAGATATTCAGAGCACTAAGCAAGGATATGCTGTAACAGTGGAAGAACGAACCATTAGTTTGTTTCAATCTACTTGTGTCTTAGATCATTCTCATGTTGTTAGTGTTGTTTTGTCAATTAGTTAGACATTTCTTATGTTATGAAGGAAGCACGAGTCGTTTAGAACTCATTAAGAGACTTTTTACTGTATTATTAAGGCGGATTTGATAGACATAAGTACTTTCTATGAAGCTTTTGTGACTTTATTTAGCTACTATATAAGCAGTGTTTGTAAGATTAGTGATCCTGATTTTCTGCACAGAACTCGGCTATTAGATATCTCCATAGGTAGTTTGTTTTTTAGTGTTATATACGTAGTATCAGCTAGCTGATCGCTAAATATTTCAGTGCCAATTCTTTAAACTTGAAATAGGGTATTTACAAGTGGGACATCTAAGTTTTGGATTAAGACTATTACCCTAATAGAAATGTCATCTATAGCTATTACTCTTTCGATCCCAAAATAATACGAGTAGTTTGGGCTTTGAGCTATTCCAGAATGAAGTTTATTTTTTCCCTTTTTATCAAATATTTCTATATACCCTTCATAGTTTATCCTTTTACTTGAAAGTTGAAACCTACAACTTTGTCATTAAGTTTATCTGTATTCCATACCATTTTCTTAATCTATGAGCTCAAGGTTTCACCATTCAGTAATAAGTACTAGGGGACCAGTATAATTTATTGCGTTATAATTTATAATTATTGCATAGTTTTAGGTGTTTTGCTTTTGCCACATTGAGCATTTGAGCTGGTGCTATCAGCCTTCGCTCCACATCAATTTCCCCGTTCTCTAATCTTTTCTGGTTGCAGGGTTGATCAAAACAGCTGACTAAGATTCATGTTGTCTTCAGCCCCAACCCCACACCCCCTCCCGATATTTTTTTGTTGAAGATGTATTTTCAATAGCGGATTCTTATTTATGTAAATTTCAAAATATTTAATACTTGTGAAATTTTTTTCAAAATATTGTATGATATTGCTGTAATTTAATTTCATACTGCTGGTGTGGTGGTTCTTTGTTCAAGGTTTTGGGAACGTATTTGACTATTTTCAATTGAGCATAAAATTCAACTTTCAAATTTATATTTCAATGTTGTGTTTGTCAAAGATTTTATACATTAGTTATCTATTCTCTCAAATAGTCAAATCCCGATATCAAGCCACATTTTAAAGCGTATGTGACTTGTTAGATCTACTTAATAACTGTGATTTTTCTATATGATTTACCAAATCATTAGTGTTGTGGAAAGTGTGATGTTCTCTGAAATGGTCCAGTAAATAACAGGTTCAAACTTGAATCTTTTGGTGAAAATTTTGCTCTTGGAATTCCCAATGTACCTTGGTTTCGCACTTTCGCTCATCCTTTGAAACTAACAAATTTTCAAACAGAGGGAAAAGGGGCAAAACACCTATAGTTACTACCAAGGAACATCTATGCCCGTAATTCCATAAACTTATTTTTTGGGCAAAATATCTAAAAAGTAAAAACCCTCAAAAGAGGGCAAAAGCCCCCTTAACTAACGGAAAGAAGTTAACGAAACATGCATACGTTAAATTATCTCAGATTCTCAGTTGACTAATCCAGGTTGTATATAAAACAAATAATCTGTATCTTTGTTTAATTTGATGTTACTACGTACGGAGTATTTCTTTTATATTGTAGTTGTGCTACATTGAATAAAATAATTCGGAAGGTTTTGGTCCTCGAATCATCACATTTGCTCAATAAAAAAAATACGTAGTGTTATTTTAGATTTAACATTATTTGCTAGTTCTGGTAGATAATTTATATTTGATCTAATGCTAAAATAATTTAATTTTTTTACTTGTTTTATAAATTGTTTTTAAAAAACCTGAATTAAATGAATTATGTAATTTTTAAGTCACACAAGTATTGGTACTTTGAATAGGGAAGTTGTAAGTTTAAAGTCACACAAGTTATATATTTTGTACTATTATGAAAGTATTTTTTAATAAAAAACATGTTTGTATCATTTTTATCTTTGGGAAAATCTCACTTTTGGTCCCTGAAATAATCACGAAAATGAAATGTCGGACCCAAGTTTTTGATATTGTAAATGTCACTTCTCAATTGCTCAAATTGTTGTAAATGTGGCCTTTTAAAGGGTGAAATGTACTCTCTCCCACATTGTATATTTCACCCCTCAAAAGACCACATTTACAACATTTAGGACAATTGAGGAACAACATTTACAAACTTGGAAATAGGGATCTGAAATTTCATTTTCGTGATTATTTCAGGGACTAAAAGCGCGATTTTCCCTTTATCTTATAAGTAATTTTCAATTAAAATATATAGTTGGTGATAGGGAAAATGATACGGGTTTTAGAGATCGTTTCGTAATATCCAAATCGATTTTATTGGTTGATTCTGCTCAAATTTATGAAGTCATGGCTGAAGTGGCAGAATTGACTGATTCTATTGATTTATGAAAAAATTATATTGAAAATAAATTTTATTTATAAGTATAAAGAAAAAACTATGTATATGAAAAACGACTAAAATGACCAGCGCATGAAATCAAAAGTTATGTGTTTAGTGAAAAAATTGACCGATAAATTTCTGCGCACGAAATCAAAAATTATGTGTTCAGAGGTGTTTTTGCCTCTTTTCCCAATCATTTTAGTCGTTTTCATATACATAGTTTTTCTTATATTTATAAATAAAATTTATTTTCAATATAATTTTTATAAATAAGTAGAATCAGTCAATCCAACCACTTCAGATACAACTTCATAAATTTCAGTAGAATCAGCCAATAAAGCCGATTTGGTATTACCAAACGGTCTATAAAACTTTGACTAACTATATATTTTTAATTGAAAATTACTTAATCCGTATAAGATAAAAATGATATGAACATGTTTTTTATTAAAGATACTTTCATAATAGTTCAAAATATATACTTTAAAATAACAATTTCCCAATTCAAATTACAACTATTTGTGTGACTTTAAAATTACAGAATTCATTTAATTCAGACTCTTTTAAAAACAATTTATAAAACAAGTAAAAAGAAAAAGTTATTTTAGCATTAGAACAAATATAAATTATCTACCATAACTAGCAAATAATGTTAAATTTGAAATAAACACTTCATTTTTTTTTAATTGAGCAAGTGTGATGATTGAGGACCAAAACCTTCCGGATTATTTTATTCAATGTAGCAACATCAAATTAAAAGAAATACGTAGTAACATCAAATTAAACAAAGGCTAAAGGGTCAAATAGGTACATGAACTAACCCAAAATGTTCAATTAACCCCTTATATAGGAGTTTCTGCCTGGACGTCGCCAATTGGGGCGGTTTACCCAATTCAAACGGGAAGGCAGTCGAATGATTTTCCAAAAAATTAAACAGCGCAGTACATTTCGGAAAATCATTAGACTGCCTTCTCGGTTGAATTTTTAGCTGAAATTTGGCATGGGTAAACTAGACTTAATGAAGAAGATTTTCAAAAAAAATCATCAAAGAATTCCACCGGGAACCGCCCCAATTGGCGACGTCCGGGCAGAAACTCATATATAAGGGGCTAATTGAACACTTTAAGTCAGTTCATGTACCTATTTGACCCTTTAGCCTTAAACAAACGAACATACGGATTATTTGTTTTTTATACGGCCTGGATTAGTCAACTGAGATAATTTAACAGATGTATGTTTCGTTTACTTCTTTCGGTTAGTTAAGGGTGGGTTTGCCCTCTTTTGAAGGTTTTTAGATATTTTTGCCTAAGAAATAAGTTTATGGGCATAGATGTTCCTTGGTGGCAATTTCGGGGTGTTTTTTGCCCCTTTTCTCTTCAAACAGATAATGTGCCTTTCTTGAAGACTGAAGTGCCTTTCTCAATCTCTTTATAATTTGTTTGCGATTGAGCCATAGTTAGAGTTAGGTTGTTTGGAATTACTTTTGCTTCTTTTTTAAAAGGGAAAATAACTTTAAATAATACAAATTATCTTCCGTGAATCAAGAATAATACATGCTTTGAAAATAGGTTTTAATAATATCAACTATTTGAACATAGATCAAAAGTCATATAGAGCATCTTTTTAATAGTGGGTTCTTATTTATGTAAATTTCAAAATATTTAATACTTGTGAAATTATTTTCAAAATATTGTCTGATATATTGCCGTCATTTAATTTCAAATTGCTCGAGTTGTGTTACTTTCTTCAAAGTTTTGGAACGTATTCTCAATTTAAGGAAAGTGTGGCGTTCTCTCAAGGTGGCCGTATGACAATTCTAGTTAATTTGGACTGATGAGATCATTTCTCAAGTAGAGTACTGCTAGAAAAGATTTGAGTCTATTATTTGCAACAGATTGCAAATTCAAACAATAACTCGTTTGTGAAATGAATGAAGAATATAACGATAGAATAATTAGCTTTATCATGAGACTAATGAAGTACCACCCTTTATACAACCGTGAGAGTTTTTCATACAAGTATAACAATAATATTAAAATAAAATCCATGGATCAAATATGATTACATGGTTAATATGAAAATATCAATATGGCATTGTATAGTAAAATAAAACATCACATGATATTTATTATAGTAACGAAAAAACACCATTATTGTACAGTAATAATATATAACCATCTGGTCACTACATTTGTAAATATAATACTCCGTAATCAATATATTTTATTAAACATTTGGTGTATTGTAAACATTATAAAACATTAGGTGATATTGAATGAAATATTTAGGGCTTGTTTGATACATGTTGAGACATTATTAGATACATTTTAAAACGATAGAAATTAAACCCATTGTTGAATGCAAATGTAAATGTGAATATGAATGTGAATATGAATATGCATATACATTCTTGTCCTCTAACCCTATGTACTGCATCAATGGGGTGTGTATTGAGTGAACCGGGTTACATTGTATCGTCTACACTTTCGAAAATTATGGTGTGAAGAGCGATTTTATTATCCACATAATTGTTTCACATCAAGTTGAAATTACAATGATGAAATTTATAAAATGCTTGGAAAATAGTTCGAAAACTAAAATGCTAAAATAATACTAGGTATTTCGAAAATATAAAAAGCTTAGAATTGTGAGAGCCTTAATCTGATGTTTTTTGGTCCACATAACATTACCCCATTTATAGTACACAAAAGCAATGCTACCGGAAGAGATTACATGACCAAAAATGACATATCAGGGGACTTT